CTAAATGGTACAACTCATAATGCAATAAGTATACCAGTAATAGCTAATTTCAGTTGAAGCAACAATCTCATCCTCTTTTTAATCTCCATATATATACTTGAATGAAATAAATCAAAACAATCGATCTCAATCAGAAATTATTATTGAATTAAATGTCGAAAATTTAGGTGGAAAAATAACTTGTTCATGTATTATGATGTTAAAACATACCGAGGATAGAAATATTTATGTTTTAGTAACTCGAGATATACGGGTGTTATATCAATTGCATTGATGCTTTTAGTTTCGATTACTTAGTTGTATTGCACTTTTGTGGTATATTGATTTTTCACTTTCTTGTGTAATGAATAATCCATCTCCTAAATAAATATTGTCAATTGAGTATTTCAATAGTTATTTCTCACTCAACTCCAAAACACCTTGATACTTTTGAATAATTAAACAACTCTTATTGCTAATTTAAGAAATTAATCAATTTCATGCGTTTAGCAAGCCTGCACAAAAAAACTATTCAAAATATAGATTAATTCAGAATGCTTGAGTAAGAAAGAAAAGCATGAGGATGAATGGAACTCTTTAAAAGCATTCACAACATAGAACATACCAAATATATGAGTCTAACACAACATGAAATACGAACACAATATGATATATTTTAAAAACACATTATAAAGATAAATGATGCACAGGACACGTCAGGACGTGAAAAGGTAAGAAATATATAAATTAGTTAATTTAAGTTTAGTATCATAATTGGGCAAATAAATTAGATAACGCAAAAACAAGACAATGAAACACGAACACGACAAATAACATAAAAATTCTCTCTCTTATGGAGAGCTGTGTCCTCTTAGGAGCCCTTATTCCGCCAAGTGCAGGTAAGATCTTTTCATTACAAATTGCTTAATCCCATTCTTTCAGCATTAAGTCTTATAGGAATGTCGGTTCTTGAAGGGGTAGATTAATATAGCGAAGGGGTTTTTGTTATCTATTTCTGATATCTATTTTTTCACTATTTACTGTACGCTTGGGGAGATTTCTCTGGGGATCCCTTTTCCTTGTTTTTGTTCCTTAGCAGGGCATCTCTCTTCTTCATCTGGTAACAAGTGTCTTTAGAAAGAGTTTGGTGGAATGGATGCAGAGCTTACTTCTAAGCTAGAATCCATACAACTAGAAAGGAAGGAACAGGAAGATATTGAAATCAATCTAGCAGACATTCATAACAGTGAAGAGGTATGCCTCAGAAGCTTGTTCGGGAAAATTATCGGACAAAAAAAGGCCAATATCATAGGGCTCAGGAGAGCAGTCAGTCAGATGTGGTACATCAAATCACCGGTTTCAGTGAGAGAAATTTCCAACAATTTCTTCCAGTTTATATTTGCAGACCAGACGGATAAGAAAAAGGTGTATAAAGGGATAAATTGGACATATGAAAATCAATTTCTGAAACTGCATCACTGGGAAGAGGGTATCTCAGCAGACCACCCTTGCTTTCAAGAGATCGAAATCTGGATCCAAGCCTGGAATATTTCCATTCACTGGATATCAACAGAAGTAGGGATTAAAATAGGGAAAGTCTTCAACAGAGCCCTGGATGTGTCAGTTCCACAGGGAGGGCCATTGGCCGGTAAATGTATCAGGATTAAGGCAGCTATAGACGTGAACCAACCCCTGCTCAGATGCTCATATCTCAAATTGGGGGACCAGAGAATTCAAATCCTCTTCAAATATGAGAGGCTAGTAAGTTGCTGCTTCTATTGCGGTTTCGTTGGGCACCAAGATAAAACTTGTGACAAAAGGGCAACTGATATTAAGAATGACTGTCTAAAAGAGGGCCTCTACGGAGAATGGTTAAAAGCTAAGGAAGTGGTTTACTTCACAACCCAGAGCTCTTCTTTCACTCACAATAACTCCAGAGATACTCCACACTCAACTCCGCCTACACCCAATAGCCCACAGCATAACCCTGATAATCAACAACTCTCATCCCAGAATCACTCAGTGTCTATACTCCAAGAAAATACTATGAACCTAATTCCTGTGACTCAAACTCCAACTCAACTCCACTCACAGCCAGAATCATCACATACTAATTACCTTCCTAAAAATCCCATAATACCAATCCCAAACATCTCTCAATCCAACTAACGAAACAAATCACCGACTGAAGCCCAACCTCTAAACCATTCACATCCAGAACCTCTCCAAACAAATTGCCTTCCTCAAACCCCATTCAACATGATCACAGAACCCACCCAAATGAAGTGCCATAATTGTGTAGCAACTGAAAACCAACCTCTAAACCACTCTCTGGATATGGATACTGAGATTACACCTACCATCAACTGTGCAGAGCCTACTCAAATAATCAATGACCCATCAACTACCACTAAACACAGAGCAAGTTGGAAGAGGAAACAAATTTCAGGTGTCAAATTGGAAGAAGAGAACCAGACATCAAAATTAACCAGGACCAAAAGACCTTTTTCCATTGATCTAGAATCTGCTGATAACACAGAAGTAGGCCAAGGGAGCAACTCAAGTAAGAAGATGAAAGTGGATGTTGTGGTGGAGAAGGCCAGCCCTAAATGGCCCCAAAGTTCTAAATGAATGCTGCGGTGTGGAACTGTAGAGGTGTGGGTGGCCCCTCTACAGTTTCCCAAATCAAGGAGATTTGGAGACTCCACCACCCAACTTTCTTTTTCATCTCAGAAACAAAAAAGAAAAATGCTTTTGTTGAAACTGTATGTAGGAATCTGGGGGTTGTAAATAGTTGGACCTCAGTGGAGCCCTTAGGTAGGAGTGGAGGGCTTCTATTATTTTGGGATAGTGATGTACAAATTTTCAATATTATCAAATCCTCTTTTGCCATTGAGATAGAATTTTGGGATGAAGCTAAGGCAAAGGTTTGTTGGGGAATATTCATTTATGCAAGCACAGATCAGAATGAGAGAAAGAATCAATGGCAATACTTGATATCAGAGAAGCACAAGTGGGGAAGCTACTGGTTTTTAAGTGGTGACTGTAATGACATAACCCAACCTTCAGACAAAAAATGTGGCAGACAAAGAACTTATGCTTCATGCCAGCACTTCAATACTTTCATCTGTGAAATGGGTATGATGGAGATAAATATGATGGGATACCCCTTCACTTGGGGGAACAACCGAGAGCTAGAAGGATTTGTGGAGGAGAAAATTGACAGGGTCTTTGGATCCTTGGAATGGGTCAACAAGAATCAGACCGCACTGGTGCAAAATGTCTTTAGAAGCTCCTCAGACCACAGTCTGCTTCTACTCTACAGCTCAACCCTAAATCAGAAAAGGAAGAAGAGGTTCACTTTTGATACAAGATGGCTGGAGAAAGATGGAATTCAGGAGGAAGTGTCCAAAGCTTGGAATCAACCTCAAGAAGGCACCCCTATGTTTGCACTGCAATCTAAAATCAAGCAAACCAGAGTTCAATTACTGAAGTGGAGTAGCTCCTTTAAAACAGAGAATGCCAGGAAAATTGAGAAAATCAACAAGGAACTTGAAGAATTAAACTCAGAAGGAGGCTTAAGAAACTGGAGCAGATGGGATAGTCTTAAGAGACAACTGAATGAAGCATACAGTTGGGAGGAAAAGCACTGGCATCAAAAATCTAGAATCACCTGGATTAAGCATGGGGATAAAAATTCAAGATTTTTTCATGCCCACACAAACCAAAGAAGGAAAAGCAATCAAATACACAGACTCAGCAAAGAAGATGGTACATTCTGGGAGAACAAAGAAGAGATTGCAGAATGCATAGAAGCTTTTTACTCCAATCTATTTTCCTCTGAGGGTTCTATAACTGGGGATGGGCTGCTTAATGAATACAGGGAGGTGATTACTCCTGAGGTCAACTCTTCTCTTGTGACACCTGTTACCACTGAAGAAATAAGAGAAGCTCTGGAAAGCATAAACCCACTCAAGGCTCCTGGACCTGATGGTATGAATTCCTCTTTTTTTCAGCACTTTTGGCCTTTAGTTCAGAATGATGTGTGTGTGGCTGTGTCTAGTTTCTTTGCCTCTGGTAGATTGTTAAGAAGTATGAATCATGCTCTGATCACTCTCATCCCAAAATGCAATAACCCAGTGCTAGTTTCCCAGTACAGACCTATAAGCTTGTGCAATATCATATACAAAATCATTTCAAAAATCCTGGCTTTGAGACTTAAACCTTGTCTGCCTGACTGCATCAGTGAGTTTCAATCTGCATTTGTTCCACATAGACAAATCCTGGATAATGTTATAATTGCACATGAAATATTTCATTTCTTGAAATCTCATAGGTCTGGTAAGAAATGCTATATGGCTTTTAAGCTTGACATGATTAAGGCTTTTGATAGAGTCGAATGGGATTCAATTAGACTTATCATGCTGAAAATGGGATTCTGTGCAACCTTTGTAATGTGGATTTTACAGTGTGTTTCTTCAGCTTCACTCTCTTTTAATATTAATGGTGAGATAAGTGGGTTTGTTAATCCAACCAGGGGAATCAGACAGGGGGACCCACTGTCCCCCTACATATTCATTCTTATATCTGAGATTCTTTCCTTTTTAATTCATGTTGAGATTGAAAAAGGGAAATTTGAGGGAATCAGAATGAGTAGAGGATGTCCTATTCTATCTCACTTATTTTTTGCTGATGATACTCTAATCTTTGCCAAAGCAGATGTGGACCAAGCTCTTACCTTGCTATCCATCCTCAATAACTATAAATCCATTACTGGCCAACAAGTGAACTTGGATAAATCCTCAAAATTTTTTGGCAAAAACACACCTGTTCCTCTTCAAAATGAAATCTGCAGCTCACTTCTGGGGATAAAATCTCAGTCCTCCACTAATTACCTAGGCCTTCCTCTGGGCATAGGGAAATCAAAAATTGCCACTTTTTCTTACATTGAAGAGGCTGTGACTTCTAGAATGTTGAATTGGAAAAACAAGTTTCTCTCAAATGCAGGAAAAGAAGTGTTGATGAAAGCAGTCCTGGGGGCTCTACCAACATATTCTATGTCATGTTTCTTGCTTCCTCAGGAAGTCATAAGGAAGATATCCTCTACAATGGCCAATTTCTGGTGGAATTCAAACAGCAACAAAGCCAAAAGCATCCATTGGAAAGCCTGGGATAAGTTGACACTTCCTAAAAAGCTGGGTGGCTTAGGGTTCCATGACTTGAACACCTTCAACAGAGCTCTAATCACAAAACAGTTATGGAGACTCCTAACACATCCTAACCTTCTAGTCAGCAAAATACTCAAGGCTAAATATTTCCCAAAAGAGGATTTCTTCACAGCCAAAAAGAAGAGTAACAGTTCATGGCTTTGGGCATGTTGGCTCAAACAAAGGGATTCATTCAAAAGTGGTATAAGATATTCAATCAGAGATGGCAAACGTGTGAAAATCTGGGATCATCCATGGGTGCCTAACCTGAAAGGGAAAAAGCTTCAGCACAGAAACACCTCTGGGAGTAGAATAGTCTGGGCCAAGGATTTAATGGAAGATTCAGGGAGAAGATGGAATAGAGCTCTGATTGAGGAAAACTTCACAGAAGAAGAGGCCAAAGCCATCATGGAAATCACAGGACTGGATCCACATCAGAAAGACAGACTAGTGTGGGATTGGTCTTCTACTGGCAAGTTCTCAGTTGCCTCATCTTACTCCACTCTTATCCTGAGGAAATTTTTGGAGCAAGACTCACCAGAAGCCAGCCAGGATCAAAGCGCACTTAGAAAAGCAAGAATGAGAACATGGAGGATGAAAATCAAGCCAAAAGTGAAGCACTTTCTTTGGAAAGGGTTGCATAACATAATTCCAGTGAGCTGTAATCTCAGTTTAAGAGGATTAGAGATTGATCAAATTTGCCAAATGTGTGGTGAGGATAGAGAGACACAGGAGCATATGTTCTTCCATTGCAATAGAGCAAAACTCATTTGGAAGCTTGCACCGGTGACATGGGAAGGTATTGAGACCGAATCTGATAGCTTTAAACAGTGGTGGCCGAAAGCCTGTTCAATCAACAACTCTCCTACTTCAGAAGCTCGGCTACAACTATCTTCCTACATCCTATGGTGGATGTGGAAGACTAGAAACTTGTGGGTTTTTTCGAAAATATGGAGATCAGAGCGAGACACTGTTAAATTGGCTTTGGAAGACTGGTTGGAATTCAATGTAGTTAATAGCTCTTTTTATAGCAAGTAGTTTTATTGTTCTTTTTAGTAGTCTTTTGTATTTTGAAGATTAACTAGGTCGGTTAGACAGTGGTTAGTCTTTTTTGGTAGCTACATGGCCTCAGGCTATGGTAGTTTGGTTATCAAGGGCATAAATCCCTAGATCCTTCTTCATGCAAGCTGGGGATAGATGTCATTGATGATTGTTGGGGTCCTCTTACCTTAGAAGTGCTTTGTATTCGAGCTACTAGGCTCGTGACTTTGTATATGATTTTTCCGAGTAATATATCCTGTCGTTTCGAAAAAAAAAAAANACGACATAATATCACGAGTTACCACTTATGATCAAACATGAGACATGCGACATTGTGAAAAAGAAGCAATTAATTGTATATAAGATGTTAAACGTAAAGAACTGCCCGTGAACTCGACTCAGATTGATTAAATGTCCGAGTCTGAAAGTTTGAACTCTAATTCGGTTCAATTTCACCTTAGTTGTATTGAAAAATAAAAAGAGGAGAAATAGTAAAAAATTGACTTTAGAATAGAGTGGGGTGGGTAAATTTTATATTTTATTTCAAGACTGTATGCTCATAAATCATTTTTTAGAATGTAGTCATTGCCTTTTAACAATCCAAATACCATTGACATGATCTAATTACATAAAAGGAAAAGTGAAATCAAATGAGATTACAGAAATTATTAGCTAAAATTCATAGGCATTTGATTAGGAGAAAAGGCAAAATAAGATTAGTGCAATTAGGAACACTATTAAATTTACCAGTCCAAAATGCAAGGTAAATAAGATTAGAGCAATTAGGAACAATTGAATTTACTAGTCCAAAATGCTATAGTATCTCAAGGCAATAATGATTCACCAAATCTTCTGTTCCTCTGAAAAAAATATTTGTCATTCATTGCAATATTTATTTCAATGTACCCACCCTTGATGTAAAAATTATATTTCAGAATTGCATAATATATAAATAAATCAATATACCACACCACAACTTGCATATATATGATGAATATTTCACCACATCTAGCTTGTTTAATAGCGATTTTGCCCTAAACTAATGAATTGAAATTCGTTTAGTGGATTCACAATGAGATTATTTAATTATTTTTTCGGACACAAAACAATGATTCTNAAAGCTAAAAAAAGCAACATTTAGAAAGAATATAAATAATAAAAGACTATTCAACGTAATAATTACAAATTTTTGCTATTTATCAAAGGTTAATTGAATTTAGGTTAAACCAATTAATACAATCAACTATCAACTATTCAATATTATGGAACTCGCAAATCATATATAAAAATTCTTATTTATAAAAAAAAATAATAAAAATGAAAAGATAAAGAAAACGAATTTAAAAATTTTCTTAGCAGTAAACAGTAAACACAACCAAAAGGCTCTGTGGGCCCTCAGTTTGGAGACAAAACATTTTCTTGCTTGCTTTTTCATATATTTCTTTCTCTTTCTCCAAAATTTCTTAAAATCACTTCTAATTTTCTTTGCTCTGCTGCCCCCGTTTTCTCTGAATACAGTATTCTTGAATGTCCAAGCTTTTCAAATCACCGCTTGAACACAAAGAATATAATCTGGGCTCTCAAGAGTGGTTTAAGACAAAAATATTCCTCATAGATCTTTTGAGGTAATGTTTTCTTGTTCATGGGATTTGTTCAACAGTAGGGTCTATCTAGAATCCTCTCTCTCTCTCTCTCTCTCTTTTGATTTTCTTTTTAAACCTTCTGAGATGATAAGC